GTGTTCATGGATACACTCTGCTAGCCTTCTGCCTGTCTGTCCTACATAGTGGTTGGTACAGGCCTTACACTGTATGTTGTAGGAGACTCCTGTTTTTTCTTCTTGGGCTACTGGCTCTTTTGGTTTGCTTAAGATGTTTTGGAGGGCATTAGTTGGTTTGTGTGCTACGGAGATATAAATAGTGATTGGAAGCAAGAAGCATGGGTTTAGGTCATTTAATCTTGGTATGATCAACTCATAAAATGCTACCCAAATATATGGGGCATTGGGACTTGCCCATGGACTCAAGAGTGGTGTGCTTGGTCTGAACAGCTCCCTTCACAAGGTCACCTTGATCCTTCCTTGCTGGTTGAATATTGATAAATAAAAACTATTTATTTTCTTCTTACCTAAGTGTGACTATAGCCCTGTAATCTCTCAGACTGGATGGGAATCTTCTTATGCAGCACAATGCATTCAAAACCCTTTATCCTTTTGGTTAAGTGCACAGCAGAGAGCAAGGAAGCTATTTAAGGCAGATTCTACATAGTTAACAACTTTTGCCCATTGAGTGCTACATTGTTTAGAGAGTTTCCTTTTCTGAGCTTGTTAAAGTTGACAGTAGGTTTCCAGGTGTAATTCAGGATGGATTTAACCTACAGAGGCTGATATGGCTTAGCTCCTAGGAATTTGCAGGACTGCTTTCTCCAAGTAGGATAAACCCATCTGGTACATTCTGATGGATAAACATCAGTTAGTTGCCCATTTGGGGGAAGTTAGAGGGCCCGGGATGCATAAACATGTTAATTCACAGATGGCCCCTGTTTTATGGAATAGCCTCCTCCTTGAGGCCAAGTTAGTGCCCACTCTAAGGATTTCACTTTCTGTAAAAATAGTGCTGTTCCAGGTATTTCAGGGCTAGGGTGAGATTGGTAGTCTGGTGATTATAGCAACATAAAAAACTAATCAATAAGTAAATTAACTGATAAAAAGAGAAGGATTATCATAACTCTTGAAGAAATTCAGAATGGAGGGAGTAGATGTTCAGGTTATCATGGCTTCATTAAAAGCACAAGCTCTGTATTAAAAGAAGGCACATAGAAAGGAACATGAATTACAGAATTTACTGAAATCTTATGCCGAATAACCCCTACTCTGAAAAATTAAAATTATTTGGTTAAATTAACATGAAAGAAACATCTTTCTTCCCAGGCAGAATTTCATTTGAGAAAAAAAAAAAAAAACAAGTCCGGGAATCAAGGGGAAAGACCGTGAAACCGCATGCATTCAGATTAGGGACATGGGAAGCAGCCTTATATCAAGGTAGGCTATTGGTCCATTTCACCTAGCATTTCCAGTTTTCAGTACTAAAATAAGTCAAAGATAAAACTATCATCCTTGGAATCCTAGATGCTGTAAATTTAGTGCAAAAAAATAGAGTCAAACTGAATCAGAAATGTATCCAGCATGATATACTATGGAAAGGAATGTAAAAGAGTACTAGCCATCAAGATTAAGAAGCAAAATAAAATAAATTATTCCAGCTTACACAGCCACTGAAATACAAGAGACAGTATAATTGATGAAGCCAGGAACAGCTCCAGACATGAATGTGTATTGCCATTAAATGCTATAAAACATTGGATGAGCTATGCTGGATGAGCGTTTCCCCCCCCCGCCCCCCAGTCGTCTGGGTTCTGTTGCATGAC